TCCATTGCCCATGGAATCACTTTGCCATGGTCTACAAAGCCCCGGGAGAGGAGCAGATAAGCCTTGCCTACCCTAAGCTAATTCCACTTGTTCACTCCCCTGATCTATGCTGGCTCCTTGCTATTCCTTGGCGTTGTCAACCATCTTCTCTTTTGGCATCTCTATACTTGGAGTTTCCCCTTCCTAGGACTCTTCCCCACACTCTAATCTGACCTAAATTCTAGTCCTGCTTCTTGAGAACCTGGCTTTCTCTCCCTGCAACCTGCTGATAATTGGCTGCCTGTGTTCATCTTATATCTGAATGCAGTCTGGGCGTGTACAAGGTCACAGGTGCCTCAGTAACCTACCTCAAATGACCATCGGGTGCATGTTTGTAGTTAATACATGCACTTTCAATAAATACATGGTGGATGGATGCTGGGGCAGACTCTCTTAGTACCTGCCTTTCAGGTGCTGTGAAACTGACATGTCCCTTTACTCTCCCAAAGATAGGTCTCAGAGTAGGCTTCCTAAGCCTCTTGTTGGGGGTAGAGTACTGCCATGTACCATTGCAGGGACAGTGAATTAGATAACATTCTGGTCAAAGTGTGGTGAGATAGGTGTTGGCTATGAAAACTATATTTCTCTTTGAATATTTCCACTCACTACTGTGTGATGTAAATCAAGTTGCTTAACCTCTCTGTGTCTCTATACCCCCATTTAGAAGAATCTCTAATATCCCTCCTAAGTCCAGTCTTCTTTCCGTTACTCCTCTGTTTCTTCATCTCGTATGGACTTATTGAGGGTGTACTTTATGCATGCTACTGTGCTAGCCACAAGGGCTCAGTCACGAATAAGACAGATACCATTTATGGGTTTAGGAGCTTAAATTTTTGCACAGGAGACATATATTAAGTAGTTTTATCCTATGTGCAAATAAAATAACCATCTCCCTCCCACACTCTTGATTAGGGTATGTTCTAGATAGGGGAAGAGATAAATACCTGGATTACAGAGGCCTATGGGAAAGAACACGCTTTTCAGGAATTTAAGTTCACACAAAATACAGGAAAAACTGTCGTTGCAAAGCTTGTATGTTTCCTTGCTTTTCCTGAAGAGTAGACAGCTTTGTTGTTTGGAAAGGCATGATAATGGGCCTTGGTTCACATTGATAAGCTTCTAAGTGTGATATATTAATAAAAGCAGGAAGGTAAATAAGAAAAAAGTGTCTTCTAGCTCCATGAACTTTCATCTCCATTGAGGAGATGGTAGACTGCACAGATTAAGTTAGATTTAGAGAACAGTTTTTATTCCTTAATACGAATATAAGCTGTACAGTTTACGAAAATTACTGTTTCTCTAAAAGGTATGTGCATGTGTGTAAATGTTCCAACAGTTCTTACCAAGAGATTTAAGAGAAAAATAAAACATATCTTCATTTCACAGGAGTAGAACGTCTACTAAGGTTAGCTATCTTAAAATGAAAAACTCTAAGTGATTTTATAGAATGCCACCACAGTCTTGTGTTAGACAGAATTCAGATTTTAAGAAATGCTTTACTGTGGTTAATTGCATCCTTTAGATAAAACTTGTAGACAGAGAGGCAAGAATTATGAACCTAGATCAGCAGTTCTGAGTAAGTAGTTAAATAAATGGATCAAAATATGTCCCAGGCTATTCTGAAGACAAGATCTTGCTCTTCAAGGTATGAATTAGAGCAGACTTGAGATTGGGAAAAAGGATTAAGAATTAAAGTTGCCTCTAAGCAACTTTAATTCTGGGGCCCTTATGTGAAGGACCCCTTCACATAAGGAGGATCCCTATGTGAAATTACTTCCTTTGAGCTTTTGTAATAATGATATTTCACATTTAGGTTCAAGGTATTTTTCTCCTATACTGTTATATCCTCTGTTAATCCCTAACTCCTCAGTAAAGTGTATTACACATGGACAGCCTTTTGTTAGTGAGATTGTGGGTAATTAGGTTAAAGGTTGACAAAGGGAATTGTGGCATCCCTCACATCACCTCCTACTGAGGCTAGCAGCAAGAACTAAAAAAGACAGTGGCCCAGAGTCCCATAAGGGGAGATAAAACAAACACTATCCCAGGCATTGCTGAGAGTATAAATGAGCCCTTGATGTGATGAAGTCAGTGCCATACAGACAAATTCAAAATGGCCTGGAGTTAAAACTCCTTTTCCCAAATATATCAAAAGAAGGAGATTCTCAAAGGAACAAAGATGACATTTCAAGTATAATCACATGCACAAAATTACAACTGTGGCAGGTATTCCCAGAAAAAGCACATGATACTAGAAGAGAAAGAATGGGAAAACTAACACTTCTCAAGGGTGGATTTTTTAAGATGAAGGGAAGCATGCCGAGAAGAGCACTCCAGCTAGGGAAAGAGCAGGGTGAAAGCTGAAGGGTGTCTGAGGAGCTGTAAGAAGGCGTGAATGGCCAGACCACTCACTGTGAGACAGGCTGAGGCTGGTAAACTTGGTAGTGCCAGATCTTAGAAAGACATTTAGGCCAGTTTAAAAATGTTGGGTTTCATCCTTTAGTAAGAAAGCTGAACATTCTTCTAGGTCCCTTAGTCTAAATGCCCTTAACTATAAAAGTAGTGAATTCATGCTATATCTTACAAGAAAGTTCCCTTGAGGGACCAGGAAAAGTTTCTTGGGGCATGCAGGACCTGAGGATGATCATGAAAGACTGATAGAACTGATGGGTCAAGAGAACATGAGAGGGCTTCTAGACAAGATAAAAGAGAGCATGCGTACTCCAGAGAGTAAGACGATCATTGTTTTCATAACCGAGGTTGTAAGTCTGTCAGTTAGGAGCAACTCATAATCGTTTTTCCTTCTATGGAAATAATTATATGTAAAATATGTCAATTCTTACTTTTAAAATCAATGATATATATATAGTGAAACATTTTAAGACCAAATGCAATGGACTGAATATTTGTGGCCCCACTCTTATCACCAAAATTCATAGTTGATATGTTAACCTTAATGTGATGGTATTAGGAGGAGGGGCCTTTGGAAGGTAATTAGGTCTTAAGAATGAGACCCTCATAGTTGGGATTACTGCTCTTATAGGAAGATGTCAGAGAGCTAGCCCATTTCCTTTCCTTCTGCTATGTGAGAAGACAATAAGAAGTCAGCCATCTGCAACCTAAAAGAGAGTCCTCACCAGAGCCCAACTATGCTGGCATCATGATCTTGGACTTCCAACCATCAGAAGTGTGAGAAGTCAATGTCTGTTTATAAGTCATCCAGTTTGCAGTGCTTTGTTATAGCAGCACAAATAGATAAGACACCAGATGAGCTTTGATTTCCTTTGACAGCAACACTCCTGGATAATTTCTACTGTTACTGTAAAATGACTGAAATGTCTTCATGTTAAAAGTTCACTTATTAGTCTAAAATAATTTTCCAAGAAATTAGAATTAGATATTTTTTTCTTACCTATGTCTGTGCCATAGGAGTATATTCATAATTAAGATACCAATTATAATCACTGATTTTCTTCCTACTCTTTCTTCAATTTTTAAGTGTAACTTGAAGTGATATTTGTCAAGTCAAACATTTATTCTAGATCACTTTCTTAAAAAAATAATTTTTCAGGATGCGTTCAGCTGTAAAAGGACAGAAAACTCACTGTTAAGCCATGCAGTTAATAACAGGCACACAATTGCACATAACAAGATCGCTGGTTCTGAGTCTAACTGTGCAGAGGTGCAAAGACATCAGTATGGACCTGGCCACTCTGCACCTTCCTGCTCAGCACCTCTATGGCAGAGGTGTCTTCCTCGTGGTTGCAAGATAGTTGCAGTTTGCGGAGTCACATACAAACACAAAAGCTTCTAGCCTAGAAGAGGAAGATTTTTCTTCTAACAAGTCTCTGTTCTAGAGGAAGAAAAAGCCCTCCAAAAACTCTCTGATGGCTGTCTTTTCCTCAGGCCTCATGGGCCAAAACTAGGTCACATGAACATGTATAAAGCAATCATTGGAAAGATTAGGATTAAAATTATTTCCCAGACTAATCCTGATACATGCTGCAAGGCTATAGTGCACATCACCTTTCATGGGGGAAAGGGGAAAGGTGGATGCCGAAATAAAGCTGGAGATGTCCTATAAAGGAATACAAAGAAGAAGGCAAGAGAGGGCAAGAATGGGGAGGGAATGAATGAATCTGCAACTACATGGTCTGTTTAAAGAGGTGTAAGCATGGTAGAGGAAACTCAACAGCAGGGTTTGCCATTATCCCTAGGCCTGAAGGAGCAAGAGAAGAGAGTAGTTACCAAAACACTACAGAACGAACTTATGTTGACAGGCCCTCCACTGAAGTCTTGATAAGGCTAGCCTGAGGCAACCCCATAAGGAAAGAGTAAGGAAAGAGCCAGGATAATAAACATCTTGACCCTATCCATCTCCTATTGAGGCTCCTCATTGGCCAACCCCACAGAGAAGCCAGAAAGCGAGTAGTCCATACAGAAGAGTCCTGAATGGCAGATGAGGGGAAAGAGGAAGAGATGATTTGCAGATGCAAATTGATGGAAGATATCTAGCACAATCAATACAACCAATGGTTAATGCCATTCTTGCAGTCATTGCAAATAAAAATTATACTGCATGTGCATTTTCAAGCACAAAATATTAACTTTTAATTAATACAAGTGTTGTTCTCTTTGCCTTTATCATCCTTTAAAGTATACCCACAACTTTGATTATTCTTTTACATTAGTAATTGATTTAAAAAAAACTAATCAGTCAGCAACATATTAGCAGCCATAGAAAACGGTTATGCTTACAAGTATAGGCTAAGAAAAGGGAACCCAGAAAATGTGGTGTACAAGTTGGAGAGAAGATTTCAATGGAACAGAGTCATAAAAGATGAGGCAGTTTGAGGGGCTGTTTAAATTGTTACAGCAAGTTTACATTTTGAAATAATTTTCAGAGCTTTCTAAGAACTGAATAATTTCAACTTACATAGAACAATGTTATCTTATTTTACCTGCCTGGATTTCTCCCCAAACTTCTTTAAAGGATCCTCAGTATTCTTTAGACTAGCTGAGATTTTTCACTCAACCTGTCCTGCAGCATCAGGAGAAAGAAAAAGACAGAAACATAAATAGAAAGCAAAAAAAAAAGAACAAGAAAAATGTGAAGATGTTAACCCTCAGGGTTTTAGTCCCTTACTTTAATCTATATCCATCTAATTTCCTTCTGCCTTTTGCTGCTCTGATCATGGAAAAATAAACAATTGGTATGTCACCTTCATCTGTGTTCTATCAACAACTGCAGTTGGCTTTCAAGAACCTTCATTTTGTCTTGCTCCTGGCTGAACTACTAGGTGTGTTTCAATGTGCTGTTAATATTCAGGAACACGTACCATGCTTAATCAATTGACTTCATCCTTTAAAACATGATCATTTCAGGTAAAAAATACAGAGAATGAATAAAATAGTTATGCAGGCCCCATTATATGGTACTAATTGATTTTTAGTACTTCTTCTAATCCAAAGAAATTTAAATGGGGTAATTTGGGATAGCTGTTAGCAACACTTAATCTTTTCATGCCTGAAATTCATACTTTACGGCTAAAATTAAGAAATCTCTTTGAAATACTTTATATCAAATAGAATGAAAAAGATCAGCTTGACTTTGTTTTAAATAGCTAATTCTCTAATGGTGATTTGAATCTTTGCTAATAGAAAGACAAGACAATTATTGCACAAATGTGAGATTCATGAGAACAGATATTTCTATCTGGTACGTTCACCACTGTGTTCTCAGCTTTAAGAACAGTGCCTGACCCATCATAGGTGCTAAATTAATATACGCTGCATAATGAATGAGTAAAGCCCCAAAGTAAGACTATCAAACAACTCAAATATCAAAAATATGGTTAACTTATTCTACACACTAAATGCTAAAATAATATCAAAAATAATAACACTATTATCATTTTTGAATATTAACCCTTTGCTAGGCCAAACTGAGTGTTTTCTTTATGATGTTTTTTGAATCCTCACAAGGGGTTGAATTCTACCATACAACAGGTAACAAGAATATCATCCTTTAGATGAAAAAGCTCAGATTTATAGCAGCTATTATTTGGTGAACTCAGGATTCATATCCTTATTTGTCTTCTCTCCAAAGTACAACCCTTTAAGCACAAAGGTATAGCACTTTGGTGTACCATCTCAAATGAGGAATCCAAGATTTCATTCTTGAATCAGAAAATCTCTCATGATCTGGGTTCAGGTTGGTCTAGCTTTGAATGTCTAGGTCGCTTTCCTTTGAGTGACAGTACACAAATTAATATCTCTGAGACTCCGTTTCTTTATCTGCAAGATCTGGTTAATCACCCTACCTCATGAGGATTTTATTTAAATTATATAGGACATTCTTGTGAAGCTTGCCTAGTATATAATTAATGCTTATTTTGGAAGTTCTGTGGCTCTGCCTACAGAAGCACAATGAAGTCGCGAGTTAAATGATATTGAGACACAAACTTGTAGAAATATGATCGAAGTGGCTCAAGCCTGTAATCCCAGCAGTTTGGGAGGCCGAGGCAGGTGGATCACAAGGTCAAGAGATTGAGACCATCTTGGTCAACATGGTGAAACCCCGTCTCTACTAAAAATACAAAAAATTAGCTGGGCCTGGTGGCGCGTGCCTGTAATCCCAGCTACTCAGGAGGCTGAGGCAGGAGAATTGCCTGAACCCAGGAGGCAGAGGTTGCAGTGAGCCGAGATCGCGCCATTGCACCCCAGCCTGGGTAACAAGAGCGAAACTCTGTCTCAAAAAAAGAAAGAAATATGATCTAAATAATTTCAACACTAAAAGCACTTATCGTCATCTTTTTTCCCCTTGTTGTTGGGTGAAGATGAAAACAGGTGTTTGCTCTCACTATCCTAAAGTAAGTTACATGTTACTTTGGCAATACAGAAATAATGTCTGTTAAATCTTCCAAGACTCATTTTCAGGAAACACTAGCCACTGTTAATGATTGAGCAAAGAAACATGAGAGGTCAAACTTACATTGGAATGAAATAATTCTTGTTTCATTTACTTATAGCTTTATTTCCAGGGTCCAAGGAGAGCAGTGAAAAGTAAAGAGAACATTGTTCACTAATTACTTTTTATCAACTCCTAATTACTAGCTGTATTTGTTTATGAAAATTCTATTTTCTTTAAGATCACAGACATTTTTTTTTCATTGCTTAATTTTTCTAAATTACAGGTGAGAATGAGGCATCCTCAGGGATCATTCTCCTTGCTATACTTGTAGTGAAGGGCATTTTTAATTACTTAAGCCTTTCCATTTTTTTCTGAGAATTATTACATACCAAAGTAGATTAGCTTAAAATGAATGTAGTATCTAAGCCAGTGTTTGTCTGAGTTCTTCATCTCCTTGAAGCCTTCCATCTAAAAGAGGGCAAGCCACAATGGGCAGGAAAATAATACAGGAAAAAGATCAAGAGAAAGAACAAGAGGAAGAAAGACTGAATTATAGTATAATCTTTTGATTTTTGGATTTTAGAAATTATTAGCTTGTAAACGGCTGTCAAAAAGAAAAAGAAGTGAATGAAGTCTTCATAGCATGGTTAGAAATTGAAGTACTAATGGGCAGAGAAAAAAGCATAAAATTGTAGAAATGCCAGGTTACAATTTTAAAACAGTGTGTGGGTATGAACCAAACAGGTATAAAACTAAAGTTGGGTGAGACAAAGAAGGGTGTTCTGGATTTGACTGAGAAGACAGGAGGGTAGTTCTGAAAACAATTCCAGAGAGCAAGTTGGACTAATGCAGTGGTTGTCAACTTTGGCCGGCCATGATAATCACTTGGGAAGCTTCTGACTATCCTGTTGCCTAGGATATCTCAGTCATCAAAGTAAGAATCTCTGAGAATGGGGTTTGGGCATCCATATTTCCTCATGCTCTCAGTAATTCAAATGAACAGCCAAGGATGAGGACCCTTAGACTAAGGAGGTAGATTTTGTACATAATTCTTCCCCATCATTTTGAATTACACAGAAATCTCAGTAAGCAAACTCATCATTTTTCAAAGGGACAGTATTAAACCAAGCACATTTTCTGTATGAACTTGCTGACTGAGTTTCCTGACAACTGTCTATTGTCAGAACAGGTGACAATGCTATGGGTAAGAATTGAATTAGAGTTCTGACGGAGTTTCCTGAATGGTAGACTTATAAACCAGGAGCCAGCAGAACTCTGCACTCCTGTACAGCTGTTGAAAATCTAGAAGACCTCTGGAGCCTCTTCTTTTTCCAGCAGCCCAAGGAAACACTTGCCACTGGAACCAGCTGTCACAAAGCATGAATGGATTAACCTCTGCCAGGGATCACAAGCAGTTGCTGAAATCAGCTGCTTGGTACAAGGTGAAGGGGAGGGTAGAAAAATGCTTCTGTAGCCATTGTCATCTCCTTGGGAAACCCCATGATGTGGGTGGTGTAGAATACAAAAGGGTGAAAGCTTGTGAAACAGTTGCTAATAAATATCTGCAAATGGAATTGTTAATTACGGAACACACACTTTGACAAGAAGCTACTAGTGATTTTCCATTTACTTGGCAGCATAAATAACTGGTATTTTTAAAAATTACGTCTTGAAATGCTAAAATATATTTCAGATGTACAGGACTAGATTGTTGTTTTCTCCTCCTTTGTTCTTTTTTTAAAAAAAATCTATTCATTAACAATTTTTCTTAGTATTTGTCAGATTTGATAAACATGAGCTAAGGCTTTTTTTTAAAGCCACTTTAAATGAATGAATTATTCTTTCATTCCAAACAGCAGTGGTTTATATATTTTAAAAATACATTTTTAGTGAGTTGAAAAGTACATTTAAAGGTGTTATCAAATTCTAGAGCTTGGAATATATATTTAAATTTCTCTGGCACTTAGTGAATGATGCTGATTAGCTTCAAAATCCAGAAAGCATCAAAGTCCTATGCCTATTTTAACACTTAATTTTTATCTGTTATCCCCAAGGTAATATTCTTACTTTGCTTCCTGCTTTTTTAGATTTCTATAGCTCAAATGTCTTATGGCCTGATTTAGCTTATTATCTTGTTAGTTCAAGATATGGTAGATTAACCAACACAGCTGTAGTACAAGGTATAAACAAATGATAGTTTTGAAGTAATTCTGTAAAAATTTCATGTAGTTTTATGGTTTGGGGTCCATAGATGTAAAATGACAACAATTAAGTTTTTCTATCTGAAAGCCTCAGATATATTGATAAGGTTGTAAATACAGTATTTTTTACTCCATCACCAAAGTCTTTGAAATCAACTTTTTCCTTAGGGTGGAATTTATTTCTGATACAGTTTTTATAAAGATGCTCAAGAGGGACCATGTAGGTACAAATATATTTTTGGAGTCTAGAAAGGTAGATTTAAGAAGAAGCTGGAGATTTGGGGAAAGTTCAAAACAGTGCTGTATAGACAGGCAAAAGGTAGAAAATTGGAACACACACAGAGAACAAGGAAGAAAATAGAAATAAATGAGTAAAACAATTTCTATTATAAATTACATGAAAATAAATATTAACACTTAGTAGCCACTTTCAGCTGAATCTATGTTTTTGAAAGACATAATTACAAATCTGTGTTTTTTCATTTGTTATTTCTGTTTCCTCCGTAGGCCTTCTTTTCTGGGCAGGATCTCATAAGCAATGTTAAAGCGCATGGGAAGATCCATGCTTACAAAATACCAGCTTAGCAATCACGGAGGAAAGGACGTCTTTCATATATATCTAGCCTACGGTTTGAATTTCACTGGATAAAATCACATCAAATGCCCTTCTCTGAGCTGAACTGTACAAGAAATCTACAGTATACCACATGCCCATTCCTGAATCTAGAGAAGGATCGTCGTTACTACCTGAATTACATGGACTGAAAGTGGAGGAAGGGTTGTAACTCAAAAGAAAATCTACAAGATAGCAACAGTAACACACCCATGCATCCTGTGTGTGCCCTTCATATCATTCAGCTTCTTAAATGGTATCCTCAAAATAGAATAATCCAAAGAATGTCTGATAAAAGACTATTCAATTAATCAAAGTTTGGCTAGGGAATGGAAAGAATACAAATAATAGGAACTAAAGGAGACAACAGTTATCAGAATCCGAAAGAAGAGAGTCTTTTAGAAATAATAGCCTTCAGAGGAACAATGGTCTTTTGTCATGGAACACAGCCAGTTCAAGGCAACCAGGCAAGGAGGAAGTCAGGAATAATAACTCCAACCTCATCCTCCTCCTTCCCTCTGATCTCCGCCAGGGATCACCATTGGCCAAACTCAACAGCAGGCCAGATGACAAGGGAGCTTACAGAACACGGTTAAAAATGGAGAGTTGAATCTGCTGGGACAAATAGAAGACATCCAGCACATAATCACTACAAAGGATCAGTTGTACTAGTGTTCAGTTGTAAATGTTCAACAAAACCAATTCAATTACTGTAAATGTCATGAGAATAAAGATACCTGCATAACTTAATGGAAATCCATCAACTCCATATAACCTCTAGTCCCAACATTTATTTATCTCTATACTTTTTTTCATAGCCAAGTTCCTTGAAAAAATAGTCAATATACCTTTCTACTTTCTCATAGTCCATTTACTCCAGAATTGCATGTTGGCTTTTGCCCTCAAAACTATATAGGAATGGTTTTCCAAATGTGGTTCCAGACCAACAGCATCAACATTACCTGGTGATATGGTTTGGCTCTGTGTCTCCACCCAAATCTCATCTCAATTTGTAATCCCCATAATCCCCACATGTTGAGGGAGGGACCAACCAGAAGGTAATTGGATCATGGGGGTGTTTTCCACCATGCTGTTCTTGTGATAGTGAGTGAGTTTTCATGAGATCTAATGGTTTTATAAGGCAGTTTTCCCTGTTCTTGCTCGCTGTCTCACCTGCGTCCATCTCTCATCTGCCTCTTCTCCTTCTGTCATGATTGTAAGTTTCCTGAGGCCTCACCAGCCATGCAGAACTGTGAGTCAATAAAACCACCCTTCTTTATAAATTACCCAGTCTCAGGTATGTCTTTATAGCAGTGTGAAAACAAACTAATACACCCTGGAAAGTTAAAAATGCAAGTTCAACTTTCCCTTTTGAAGAACTAGTGAATCAAAAACTCTGAGAAGCGAAGCCCAGCAATTTGTGTTTTAGCAAGCCCTCTATGCGATTCTGAAGTACACTTGATTCTCAATGACTCACAGAAACTGCTATTTTTAAAATTACCAATAAAGTCTACCATGCTAGACTCTCTGAGCAGTTTTCTATTCTCATCTTTCTTGACCCTTCCTTTGACTTTTCTGTGTGGTATTTAACATTGTCCTCTCTTCTGCAGGGGGGAATCATCCTCTCTGTCCTCTTATATGCCTGTTCAGGTAAGAAAATAATAATATTCATACTTTTGGAAATATTGGGACTGAAAACACTGCCAATGTCTTCACTCATCAGATCTCAAATCTTTCTAATACTAATGAGCATTTTGTTGATAATAAGCAGAGCTAATGAAATAAAGGTCACTGTTTTTGTGTGAAATGCCCTTTCTGATTTTATTATTTTTATAGTTGCCTGCTTGCAAGCTTTATTGAATACTTTTCACTAGGGCAGTGTGAAAAGTGATACCTATAATTTTCAGCCATTGTGCCGCCTAGTAGGAAGGGTAGTATAACTCAGGGAGAAAATAAGAAGGAGCTCATTTTGGCCTCAAATATAGGCCAAGATTTTCTAATCTACTTTTTCAACAAGTGATGCTGATATTTTGATCTTTATCTGACTCCTATTTTTTCATTTCAGAATCCCTGAAACTAAGGGAGAAGTACAGTTGTCATCCTAAATTCTCAACACAAGGTGCATCAGCTGGAAAACTATAAGAATAATTCCAAGACTTAGTTTTAGATCAAAATATTACATGGATCTATTGAACTTTTTAACGTAGCTGAAATGAAGAGTTTTAACAAGTGATCACTTCTTGGTTCTTTGAAACTTGAAGTCAGCAGAAGCTTTTATTTTTTCTGGAAGTCTACATGAGTATGGATTTATATCAACAGGCTTAGGCTCTATAGCTAAATATGATAGTATAGTAAGCAAGTGAAGCTTTATGCAAAAATTTGAGTAGTGTGCTTGAGCTGAGAACCACAGTAAGATTTTAACCAGAAAAAAAGGATTCAACTTGGCAGTCATGATGGACATTTTCAAAGCCTTCAAATGGAATAAGTGATAGTGTGATCATAAGGGCAAATACAATGTGTTTTTTTTTTCCTGAACTGGAGAGGCACTGTTATAGCTTCTAGGATTTGGCCCTACATAGAATGAATAAGATCATTACTAGAACCAGGAAAGACTCTTACCAGGTGGAGCAGAATTTTCATGTATGCACTATTGGGAGGCATCTCAGCCTGGAATATGAAGTACTGGGCTAGAGCAAACATCTTCTGATCTATAGAAGTTGAGATTTTGATGGTAGATGAAATCTGACAGAGCTTTGCTTGTGTCCACCTTCATTCTGTTTCTTTCATGCTGCTAAAGAAACCAAGAATGGAAACAAGTCAAGTGCTGTTAAGAGGAAGATAAATGGTAGAGACAATAACATTAAAATCATAAAGATTAACCAATAAAAAGGGAATTAAAAATGTAAAAAATGAAAGTTTATTCTGAAGAAGCATATGGGACACACTGCTGCTTTTCATTGGATTTTTGTTTATACAGCTATAAAAATCTTGAACTTACAGAGTGGAAACTATTGATAGCCAACTGACCACTATCATAGAGAAGTTAAAGCTAAAAATATCTCTATCTTTTTATTTTTTTCTAGTCTCCATATGCCACTAAATGTATGATCCTTGGCTGACATCTGTGGTAAGGGCCTGAATAGTGTTATGTTCTAAACTTTGGTTATGTTATTTTGCTAGTACTGCTGCTATGGCACCTATAGACTTTGTACTTCTCAATCATATGAGTGACCAAGAAGTATTGTGATGATCCAGTGTGTCCTATTGATTCTTAAGCCTCTTTAAAGGAGCCCAGCATAAGACACTGAAGGTTACAGCTGCTGAAGGAACCCCCATTGACTTAAAACTCCAACCCAATTGAAAATCAGCATAATAAGACATAATGGAAAGATAAATTTAAGTTTTAATTCTTTAGGAATTTAATTTAGAAGCAAATTTATTCTGGGTATTAATTTTTCCTTAGCAATTTGATAATTAGAAGGTGTACTGAAATTGCAAATTTGGGTCATGTTTTCACTGCTGGCATTGTGCTATCTAGAGCATTTTAATACTATAATTTGACTGAATATGTAATTCCTTCTAAATTTTGAATAAATATAATTTGTGATATGAAATGTAGTAGAAAAAAACTTAAAATTCAGAATAATAGATTTTTAAATACAGTCTTCTTTTCACCCATTTCAGATCATTCTAGGAACAAAATATGAATTGCCTACCATCATTCAAAGAGAGTAACAATGAATGGAGGATGGTGACAGGTAGTGACTTCACAGAATACAGGACTGACCTTACAAACTGCTTCTTTTCTCTCCTGTCTACCATAGGTTTAAGTATCAAGCCAAGGTGTCATGAGATGAAAAGCTGGGAAGAGTAAGGGAATTATTTTCTGACACTCCTCACATTCTATAGCTTCAACCCCTAAGTGGGAACTTCTGCCCTCTCCAATCACCTCACTCACTGTCCCAAAAGAAGAAAGAGCGACAGATATTGGTGAGAGCCTGCCCTCTCTTGGTGGGATTTACTGTGATAAAAATCTTTTTATTAACTTCCTCCTTTAAAAACTCCATCCTCTTCTGGCTACTCCATTCTCTTCCAGTGTTTTGTTCCACTCTTTTACACTATCTGTCACCAGCTCCACTCCGACCATATATCGCCTTAATGGGTTGTTCTCCAGGGCCCCATCTTTGGTCATTTCATTGTTTTTATAAAATGCAAATAGAGACATACTACTGTTCAGCTTAAAATATTTCAGTGGAATTTTTTAGCTTGGAGAGCAAACTGTTAGCTTAGTCTTGGTGGTTTCTTCAAAATACATGAGGAGAGACATGGTCAAATTTATAGATCTGAAATACTGCTGTGTTAGCAATGTAGGTAAACTAATAGGTACCCAGTAAATATTTATTGAATGAATGAAGGAAAGAAGGAATAAGGATATGAGACCTGGCTGAAGAATTTGATGGAAAAAATGAAGAGGGAAGGGAGAACTAAGAGCTAATAAGTAGGTAAAATCTGCAGCAAAGCTGACTAACTAAATAGAGGTAGAAGATTAGAGAAGGAAGGTGATATCCAGATTTTCATTTAATTTTCAATTTTATTTTTCAAGAAAGAATAATTAGGATGAAAAATTTTAAGGAAGAATTCATGAGTTCAATTTTAGAAATACTGGTTTTGAGTTTTCAGCCAAAGCAGAAATGAATTCTTTGCTCCATCAATTTGAAAGCATTTACCTGAACACACAGCAGTATTTTATGCTTTCTCTGTATCTGTCATATTTGTTCTGACTGCCTTGAGTGTACTTCCACTCAAATCTATTTCACAAGGCATTGATAAGGGCATATATTCTGTATTCTCCCAGCTGGGATGAGTAGGTCTAAAGTGACTAAATCGCCCCACTATCCCAATCTCCCTAAGCCTTTGGATCCCTTCTTCCACATTAAACCAAAGGAGATGAGGCATTTTCAGCTTACTTACAGTGGGCCATCATTAATCTGTATTTTGACTGAGCAAGCAAATAGACAATTAGCATGTTTTTTAACTCCTCAAGCTGAAACATTAAAAGCAGGGTTCCTACTTAGTGGAGCAAAATCAATAAATTCAGCCTGATCCAACTCTATGTACCTTTTGCCATTATCCCACACCCTTAGCATCCATTCCAAAGACTATTCTCCAGGTTTCTGTTTATATAAATTAGAAAACTCAAGAAGTTCTTTTTGAGTGGAGCACAGGTCCTCCTTGATCACACTCTCAACCTCATCTCTAGGGGCCCACAGTGACTTTAGTCTAGTTATAGGTCTAGAAGCAAACAGGGGTGTTGGGGGTGGCTTCTGAAAAGAATCAACATTATTTTGCCTGGCAACTGTCTCAGGGGAGGCCATCACTGTTGCCTTAGGCAGTGCAGGGTTTATCTTCTCAGACAAAGGTGAAAAGACGGCTGGCAGCATGGTTTTAAAAGATATGTGGCCACTACTGGGGATGAGGAAGCTGTTCCTAATGGCAAAAAACTTTCATCAGAGTTCACAAACTCAGTTTCCCCAGCTTCATCAGGCTCCTCCCTCACATCTCCATACCAAGTGTCAGGGTCCCATTCTATTCCAATAAATGCCCTCACTTTAACAGTAGACATCTGATGAGGCTGTGCATGCACATTTCATTTCAGGTCAGCCACTCACATGATAAGAACTTGTGTCTGTTTTTCAACAATTTCAGCTCTTTCTCTGCAGGAGATAAGACTCTCATTCAGGACAATCCTAGCAGATTTGAGGCTCAGCATCTGCTTCTGAAGCTGGGAGAAAGAATCCTTGAGTTCATCATTTTCTTTCATCACATTGTACACTGAACATAGGAACAACCAACCAGCTTAATTATATTTCTTGGTTCTCCACATATGGTTACAGGTATTATGTATAGAGTCACTAAACTCCTTGCCTCTCATGAGCAATTAATCAGGAGTGTCAATGCATTTATTTTACATATCTCTCTAAACAGTTCATGCCAAGGACTATCAGTGTTCTCCATATTATTAGAAGTAGAGTCCTTAGCATTTTGGGGTCTAATCATATTAAGCAGCCAACTCCATATTAAAACCAATGAAAGAACTCCATCTTTAATATTCTGTTCCTCTAAAACCACCCCAGTCTTGGTACTAAAAATCTATGTTAGTCAGGATTCTCTAGAGGGACAGAACTAATGGAATAGATTATATATATATTATACATTTATGAGTTTATTAAGTATTAATTCACACAGTCACAAGGTCCCACAATAAGCCATCTCTAGCCTGAGGAGCAAGGACAGTCAGTTTGAGTTCCAAAACTGAAGAACTTGGAGTCAATGTTCAAGGGCAGGGAGCATCCGGCATGGGAGAAAGATGTAGGCTGGGAAGCTAAGCCAGTCTCACCTTTTCACATTTTTCTGCCTGCTTTATATTCACTGGCAGCTGATTTGACTGTGCCCACCCAGATTAAGGGTGGGTCTGCCTTTCCCAGCCACTGACTCAAATGTTAATCTCTTGGCAACACCCGTACAGAGACATCCAGGATCAATGCTTTGTATCGTTCAACCCAATCAAGTTGACACACAGTGTTAACAGCTGGATGAAAGAAAGAAAAAAAGAAAGGAAAAAAAAAAGGAAAAGCAAAGGAAAGTAGGAAAGAAAGAAAAAGAAAGAGTGATTGTAAAGAAATGAATGCAAGAAATCTATTAATAGATATAGATATCAAACTCTGAACAGTGATCCCTTTAAGAATCTGATCATTGTAGATGCTACTCTTGTGAAAAACAAGAAAACAGACATAACATAAGGCCAAATATCAGAAACTTCCTTAAGGTCCATCAACCTTAAGGAAGCAGGTTCTAATGGAGCTGATAAGCTAACAAGCCTTTTAAGAAACAGAGGAGAAGTCCCTGAAATAAGCACCTCTGAAGTCAACTTCACAACGATAAGCAACTGTCTGGAGCATGTTTTATGTACCATTAAGAGTGAATTTCTTTGAGCCGGGGCTGGATTCATAAAGGAGTAGAACTCAATGAAACACTGTTGGCATTATCATTAGTAGGTCTTTATTGAGTTGTGAATAAACCTTTCAATATCCTAAAGTATATCATAACTTTCTTATAACTGTAATTCCATAACCATCTTTGGCTACTAAATATTACCCTGTCCTGAAAATTCTTACAGCATTACTGTTTCAAAATCAAGTTACAGTTCACCCTTTATTTTCCAGAAATAAACAAACAAGTTACATAAAAGTTGCCATTTGATTTTTTTTCACACTTAATAAGTTGTCTAAGTTTGTTCAACAAGATCAAGATTCCTTGGTTATCAATGATTTTTAAACTTGTCTAAACTAACTTTAAATGTTCTCTTTGAATAAGAGATGTGTGCTCATTCATTAACATTTCTTTATAACAAGTATTCTTAAAGTCTGATTTGCTTGTTTGTACATATAACTTTTATAGGGGATATTTAAAATATCACATATGTTTGAGGAAAAATGGCAAACACTGTTATAAAATAGTAAAATTTCACTTTTAAGAATAAGTTTAAATTGGATGCATAAGGCATTAAAACATAAAAATATTCTAAAAGGCCATAGGATTTTATTATTAATAGGTCTTTATTGAGTTGTGAATGAATCTTCCATTATCTTAAAGTATATCACAATTCTGTTATAACTGTAATTTCATAACCTTCTTTGGCTACTAAATATTGTCCTGTCTTATAAATGGCCTCTGGATGAGAGAAATTTGAAGATCTAAAGATAAATAAGAAAAAGTTATAGAATATGACTTACTGGTTATAAAGGGTAAAGAAAGGTTTCTAGCTTGGTTGACTATACAAAGAGAAAACCCACTGAAAAACAGGAAAATAAAAATGAGATAGAAACAAATTTATCAAAAAAGCAAATGAGCTTGGCCTCAAAGATATTGAATTTCTTGTTGCAGTGGAATGCCAGAAATGACAGTGCACATTTAAACAGAACTTGGAGACGTGAGAGTAGAATTCGAGAAGGAGATAATGACTGAAATAAAATTCATACGTGAGAGTCTTTTCTATCGCATAAGGATGTACGACACAGTTAAGAACTCAGGGAGTAGAGATTTAGAGCAAGAAGGCAGAAATCACTGGAGCAAGTGAAGGAGAATCCATCAGAAACAAAGGAAAAATATGGCCAAAATGGCACTGGGACAGTACAGAGTTTACTCAGCTAGGTCCAGAATCAGAAGCCATCAAACATAAGGATAACGCTGGAGATCCTCAGTTCAGTCTGGGGCATAGTTTTCACAGAACATAACATTTTCCTCTCTGAAATCAAAAACATAATAGAGATGAACCCTCAGACTTTTTATTCTGTTTTCTATGTGCCACCTCTACTTGTGATAAACAGTAAAAAAATAATCCACTCCCCAAAACACTTCACCCCAAATAACCACATTCAAAATGCATGAGATTTTATGATTGCCAAAGTTACCTTTCAACCTTCAAACAAAAACCATCTTGCTTAATCAAAGATTTCCCTTGCCTTAAGGGAGAAAAAGGGTGTATTCATTAGAATAGGCAAAAAGACTGTAACAACCCCCAGAACTCAGATGGATTAACAACACAAAAGTTTATCTTTCCCTCACAAATTCTTGGTAGTTTGCATGACTCTCCAAGGAAAGTGTCCTCTCTGCAGTCACTCAGCGAAAATAAAAAGAAAGAAACTTTGATTTTATGATACCACTGTTTCAACACGTGGTCTATGTGCTCTCCCTGGAGGAATAAAAAATAAAAAGAAGCTGGAAGGTTGCACAAGGGCTGTGGAGGTTTTATTCTGTGTCAACTTGACCAATCTGAAAATGTTTCCCCAAATCCCTTTCCCTTAAGCTTCCCTATCAGAGGTGGCCAAAAAAGAAATTCTCACAAGATTTGGAAAGCAAAAGTGAGAGAGCACTGATTATATTCTGAAAGTTATCCTGGCTAGAGATAGTGAGAGACAGATGCAGAGCTATCGTCAGAGTCTACCTTGTTTTTGCCTTTCACACACTGAGAGATACATGCATAAATGTAGTAAATTCTAGCTTATTCTCTCTCACCCTCACTCCGTGTCCAGCTCTTTTCCCTTACTGCCAGTCTTTCTGATCAACAATAAGATCCAACCCACCCCTAGACACAGAGGCAACAGCTATCTATAGACTTCTCCAGCTTCGGCAGTTTTCCTTCACTGTCTTCACACTGGCGGGCAAATGTATTCCCTGACAACCCCCAATTTATCCACCTGTGCCAGTGCCTCAGAAGTTCTGGTTAGTGATATTTCATTGATTCCCAAATCTTCCTTTTACACGCTTATTTCTCTAGCATTTCCTACAATTGTGCAAATTCTTAGCTAATTATAAATCCTTTATTCTATAATGCCCATAGTGGTTCTGCTTTCCTGACTGAGGCTAACTACTATAATTCTTGGTACCAAGAGTAGTTCCAGGGCAACAGACCCAAAATACCACTATAGTGGACGACTAGTCAGCCATAGTATAGACAGGCTTATGGAGGTAAAGTCATTAATGAAGTTTTGAAAAGCATCTTTCTCATCAACATGTCCCTAAAATCAACCCACAGTTTTTTGCCTGCTTCTGGAATGTATTATAAGTAAAGACATAATAAACAACTAGCAGAATCTCCACATTGGTTTTCTAACTCACGAAATAGGACTATTATGGTGAGGAAGACTAACTAGAAACCTCTAGAACTACCTCTACCAATCAAATTATTAAAGGTAGTTCTTCATTGCTTGGGGTATTTTAGGTATAAGTGCCAACATTAAGGACTTGAAGGATGCAGAGAGGGTGATTCCTACCACATGTCTATTCAACTTGCATATTTTGCTTTTGTATTGAAGAGATGGATCCTGGAAAATGATAGTGTATTACTATAAACTTAAACTGGTAATGATGACTACTGTAACTTCAGTTCCATATGTGATTTATTTACTAAGGCAAATCAATACATTTCTGGGTTCCTGGGATCATCCTACTGATCCTGTGAATGCTTTTGTTTGATATACCACCACAAATAGACTTCAGAACTATCTGTATCAACTCTGACATACTATGTCATAATCCATTCTGCAGGAATCTTCTTTGATCATCTCTCCACTACACAAGACATGCTGATGGTCTACATTAATAATGCCAGGCTGATTAGATTTGGTGTGCAGAAAGCAGTAATTGCCTTAAACACCTCGGTAAGATACTCATATTCCAAAACAATTTAGAAAAGTTTCTATGGGTCCGATGGTCAGAGCCATGGCATTATATCTTTTCCAAGGTAAAAAGAAAGCTGCTAAATTTGGCCCTTCCCAACATCAAGAAAGCAATTACTCCTGGTGGGCCTCTTTGGATTCTGAAGGCAACGTGTGCCTCATTTGGGCATACTACTCTGACTCAATTATTGAGTAATCCAAAAGGCTGCTATCTTTGAGAGGAACTCAAATAAGAGAAAAATGTGCAAAAGGTCCAGCTTTCCATGTAAGCTGTTCTGCCATTTAGGCCATATAATTCAGCAGAACTGTGATTGAAGAGTTTATGCTTTATAATGGAAATTTTGTAGAGCTGATAAATATTTTGTTTTAAGTATAGAACTTTAAGATTTAGGAGCTAAACTGCACCATCCTTTGTAGATATCACTCACTTTTTGAGAAATAGCATTTGGACTGTGTAGGATCATAGTAGAGAATAGATAGCTAACAATGGACTGCCAAATTATCTTGAAAATTAAATTGACTATCAATAACTAATTTTGGATTT